TCTGTTTACATCCAGAACAAGCGAGAAATTGCTGTTTTAGACACACCTATTTAGAGCATAGTACAGTATACATTAAATGCCCTACTAAATTAAAAGGAAGCTATAGAATAATATGCCGTGCAACTAATATCATTAAGAAACAAAATTGAATACAAATATTCGATCCTTTCACGTTTCCTGCGTTTCAAATCAGCACAAAGCTCGGAGAATTGAAATGAAACATTGAATACACTTATTTTGTGTCACGTGAACATCTCCTTTAGAATTGTATCTCTAAAATAGAAATATTACTTTGAAATAAGGTGTTAATGTTTTGTCATTTGTATTGCTTTCATGAAATAAACACTAGCTCATATTTATACGTTCTATCTTTGTAGTAAATGTCATCAACATACATTCTTCTATGATCTTCGTAAATTAAAGGGAGATTATGGAAAATAATTTACAAATTCTCCCCATTACGTCATAACTTGTAAGTGACTTTAATAACATAATGAGGATACTAAGCAAATTATTGCTTTTATACCAAAAAACTATTTATGCAAAAACAAACCATACCTGTTAAGTTATAAAATCGATAGTCATAGATTCCAATAGGTTTTCTATAGCCGGTTTTGGTACGTTACACCGAAGTGATGCAAATTGATAATCCTAATAAATCGATTCGTGAACTTGAATAGGGAATTTTAACTTTGTTCCTAGGAATAAAATGTTTTAATTCGTACTAACTATTGATGTAAAATTTATACGCATTTTTATTTTGATTTGATTGTAACAACCAACTGTTGGAGTAAAATTTATATTTACTAATAGATTTGATTCTTTAAACAATATATATAATGATATATGTTATCACATAATTTATATACGATTTCCATAAAATAAAAATTACCATTGAAACTATACTTTAATTAAATTTTTAAAAATATGTCTCAACAGTCATAAAAACTTAATGTTATATTGATTCAAAGTGTCGTAGTTTAAATATTTATGTAGTTCTTATTGTTGGAATTCATTTACCATAGAAGCTTTTAACATAAATTAAACTTATTCTGGCATTACCTTTCATAAGGGTCGCATTAGTTGTAGGTAAATTAATTTTATATCAGTTGAGTCGTGCGCGCGTTCAGCCTCCGGGCAACGACGGCGTGGGAACAGTCTCAGATCGTGTCATCTCTAGTTATAAAACTAAAATAGACTAACCTGCTATCTGATTTTAGTCTACATGTTCTTAGGAACCGACTTAAAAAATGAGAGTTATGTAATATAAGGATTTGATAATATAAGGTGTCCCAAGGAAATATGCAAATTGTGAATTATTACCATTTCTTTTTTTATTTTGACTATCAGGCAGTTAGACTGAGTAAAGTTATAGTCAAAAAATGGGAAAATGTTTAGTTTATGTAAAATAAAATAGAGGAAATTGTTGTTTATTCAAATTTTGCTCCACATCTCTATTTGATAGCAATACTTTGAACGTTCCAATATCGTTTTTTAATGATATTATTTGATATTGACCTCTAGAATGTTTCTAGGTAGACAGTCCGTTGTTTTAAACCGCGTGGGACGTATGAAGTATAAAGTTGAATGAACGGATGTTATAGATGATTATGGGATGGTTTCATCATAACATTAACTATTGATTTTACTTATAGGTATCATTAACACGAAAAGAAGAATTAATGGGTGGTTAGAATGTGTGCGAAGGATAGAAAAATGGATAGGAATTACAAGTTGGATAGGACGAACTGGGTTAATAGGATGAAGAAGATTGACAAGATGGATAGGTCTTTAATAACTAAAAATTATCTTGTTAATTAGAAATCGATTTATTAAAACTAAAAAATAAATCCATACAGTTTAAAAATAATTAAGACAAACAAAGCTTTTAAAAGTACTTTCTACGGGGTGGCTACATGGGTACAATTACAATTTTTTTCATCCTTTCACATGTCAATTGTACAATTACTACGCTCTATCGGAGCATGCTGTATTGTTTGTGAGCAGCCAGTGAGACAGCGAATTGCAGAATTAGTTAAATTACACAATCGCGAGTAACAATTGCACATCTTCACGAAATAGATTGTATCCTAAGAGCTTACGTTAAAATTAATACACATTTAAGATAAACAACCTGATTATTTAATAGGTACAATATAAATAATACTTCCCCAAAAAACTTGTCAAGTTACCTACTACTTAAAGTTGACACCGTACATTTGAATTTGCGTCTAATTCACATAAAAATCTTAGTAGTTGTGTGAATGAGAATTTAAAATCCATCCTCACTGTTTCATTTTTATTAAATACGTGTAAAGATATTGAGATTATTTTTATTAATAAGAGTCGTTTTCACTTTCCGTTCAATATAATGTGTTCTACCTTTAATTGAGAGATACCTTCTTCCTGTCTGTTACAAAACAAAACATGGATAGGATATACCTATACTTTTCTATGTCTAAATATCTACATAGGTATTTATATATATATATATATATATATATAGGGGAGAGTCGGATATATCGTACCACTTTTCACTTTAACTCAAATATTTCGACTATAACACGTCTTATAATCATTAATACATATGTAAAATAAAGTTTCATATTTTAGCTTCCTAAGAAGAAGAGAACAGATCCTTGCGATTATTCTAACATTGTTAAAAATGCTTCTTTATAGAGGCTTGCCATCGGTACGATTTAGCCGACTAGTCGTTTTAATCGTACCACTAAGTCTTTAAATCGTACCATGGGTGTTTAAGTCGTACAACTGAATGAAAGACATTAAAATTCTCAATCAAATTATTTATTTTTGACTGTTAGGTAAGTAATAAAACAACATTATTTATATCTTTTAGGTAAAAGAAACATAATTTTTAACTCTTAGGTTATATAAAGGAACTATAAGCTCTCTCAGTAAAATAACATGATTATACTATGATAATGAGGTCAATCAACATAACTAATAAAAATGAGACAAAAAAAAAACAGTAAACTGTATTAATAAAGTAACAGTTAACAAGAATGTTATTTGTAATATAATTATTGTGCATATTTCTTAATGGAAACAATCATGACAAATGTTTTCAAAAATTCGTAGTACATGTCTCATGTAGCCACCGTTTACAGCGAACGCATTGAATCCAATCAACTTTTGGACCCTTCTTATCGTAGTAAGAACAATTGCACTTTCGACATACATTTTCAAGATAATCATCGCTGTCATCATCATCATCTAGTTCTACAACAAGTGTCTCTCCTGAATCATCGCTACTGGTGATGGAATGAGATCGTTTCCTCTTATAACTTTTGTTTTTGGTCTTGGGTAGTACTTACTATACGTGCTTGCGGTAGTACTATAGGTACTTGCGGTTGGTAGTCGGGTAAATCGTACCAGTACAATTTAACCAACTGCAAGTGGTACGATTAAACCAACTAAGGCATTTCTAAAACAAAAGCAAATATCCGGCATAAACTCAAAACTTAGACATGCAACAAAAACCCCCAATAATCTAGTATATAATTGTGGAATAATAATAAAAAATGAATAACTATAGCTAACCTTGATTACGAGTTATCTCTTTACGAATGTACGACAATATTTATATTAATTCCTACAAAAAATGGTTTTTTTAATTACGTGCACAGTTGTTAACTCACGTCGATGTAAACTAGTGGGTGAAGAGGGATGGTACAGGGCCACGATTTGGCGTTGTCAGTGTAAAAAAAAATATTCATTAACTGGGAAATTAAGAGGTGGTACGATTTAAATGCTTAGCCAGGGTCTGCCTTATGTTGTGAATAATTTTGGCTATTTGTTTTTACGACCGGCCCGCCTGCCTGACATCAACCCTCTTTTGGGAATCAACATTAATCAGTGATGTCTAAATACTCTTAGAAAGTACATATGATTCAGAAAAATCACATTGGTACTTGCCCGGGCCAGGATCGAACCCGCGCCCTCGGCGACGAGAGGCGGGCCCTTTAACCACTGAGCCACCACTGACTTCTATATATTTATTAATTAATTTACTAAAGCACTTTAAATAACAACATTTAAACAATATATCACCATAATTAATATACATCACTTATTTAATTAAACGATGTACTTGTGGTGTTTGCTTACAACGACTTAATAAACATTGTCTTTTACATTTCCTCTTAAGTCGATCATAAACGGTTATTGCCAATGTAAAGCTCGTTTAAATAACCCTTTGTTTTCAATTTGCATGACAATATTAAAAACAAAGGTGGATAAATATCACAGTGTATAATTTTAGCTGAACAAATCCAATAAACAAATGTGTGCAGAGACTTTTCTTTTGTTTTTTCATAAAAATTACTATAGAGTAATGTTATTTTAGGGGTTCCGAGATGTTGATTTTTCGTTGGGTTTTACTTATATGACATGTGATTTTATATAGAAGTGCAGTTTTCAATTTAATAAACGGTAATTTAGCTTTGGAAAAGTAAATAAAGTACAGGTTTTTTTTAATATAAATTAAGAAATTAGTATTCTTATTATATTTTATTAATTAGTATCTTTTTGAGTGAAATATCTACCTATTCGAGAAATTAATATTGTTTTACTGCGATCGGATAAAAGTGTATGGTTTGAGTTACAAATAAGTGCAATTTAAGGATGGCATAGCTTCATATAAAATATACATGTTAATGTCTTACCTCAATAAATGTGATATACGTTTTTAGATTTAGATGTTTTAAAGAAATATACATAATTTCATAACAAATTACAAGGACAAATAGATAGATAAATCTTTAAACAAAACAAAAGTAAACATTATGAAACTTTCGTTATACTATTGAGATGTATGAGATGACCTACTGATAATGTAAAATATGTGTCGTTTGAATTGTTCCTCCATAACCGGACCGATTCCATTGAGAATCTCATTACTCGAATGAGCCCCAACAAATCTGGGACAGTGTAGTTCTCATGGACGTGTCTGTCGTTAGGGCCGCGTGAGGTGACCATTACTGTACAAAGAGTTGCCTAAAATAGAGAGCTTTTGTGAGGCGGGAAGGCAGGAGGCAGGGGCAGGTGGGGGCGGGGCGGTTGTTGGTTGCCCGCCGGCTCAGTTGCGTCGCTACGTACAGCCGTCTCGCACGCCACCGCGCACCGTGGCTGGAACAGCGCACGCGCACGCGACAAACCCACCCACCGCACCCCAAGACACGTGCTCTAGTGATTGCCACATGACTTATTGAAGACCAAGATGCAAGAGCAAAGTACGTCGCGAAACAAGGCAACACTCAATTCGTTGGAAAGCGCTATCATCAAGTTGAAAAATAACCTTCAGATACAAGACACAAAAACAGATATGAGTGGTTTATTAAGCATTGAAACGTCAAATTGCGAAGAAACTAAATGTAGTTCGAGCAAGGGAAGTACAAGTTCTACCGCAAATATAAACATATCTATAGCTTCGGCGGCACTTCTACAGGAGAATATGCTGCAGCGATCGTTACAAGGTGTAGTAATTTCTTTACAAAATGCTATGATGAATTCATTACAGCAGGCTGCTCTTTTGCCATCTAATTCAGCAGCTGCGGCAGCCTTAAATTTACAAGCATTAGAATCTTATTTAACCTTACAACGCCTTACCTCAGTCTCATCTGTCAGTACATCTCCTAGTACAGCAGAAAATAACACATCTGTGAAACAAGATATATTAAGGATAGCAACAGCGAGTGCAAAGATAACTGAGACTGATGTTTCAGAAAGTACATCAAGAGTAATGTCTCCGAAAACACCCGAAGAATACCCGCTATCTGACGCAATTGCTGCTGAAGATGTTGATTTATCTGAAGAAGTTGAAGAAGATTTAGCCTTATTAGATAATGAAGACGAATTTACATTAGAGCAGCATTTAGAATCGTCATCTAAAAGCTTCAGCTATAGTTCATCACAGAATTTAGACAACGGCTATCCGAGCCTACTAATGAATGCTATGTATCAACAACAAATCAATAGAAGTCCTTCAAATCCACCGCTCTCACCACAACCTTCAAACTCCTCTAGCACAAAATCTACAAACAGTTCCACGTCATCAACAAGCAGCAGTATTTCTAATAAGCAAAAAACTTCTAGTACCGGCTCAAGAACGAAGAAACAGTTTATTTGTAAATTTTGCAATCGTCAATTTACGAAATCTTATAACCTTCTAATACATGAAAGGACCCATACTGATGAAAGACCATATTCCTGTGACATTTGCGGTAAAGCTTTCCGAAGACAGGACCATTTAAGAGACCACAGGTAAATTTAAACATAAAAATATTATCACATTAAATTGCTTTACTAGGAATACCTTTTCCCTTTTAAACAAATTCATTAATTGAGACCAAACATAAAACTTTTCTGAAACAATAAATGATATTAAAACATCTATCTTCTCAGTATTTGACATTACAATAACTTTTATCACATTAACATACAATTTTATTATCTTTTTAATAACAAACGTAAAAGATAACATATACCTAATGTATAATTGTATATAATACTATTTATTTTTTGTTCAAATAGCTTAATTAATAGGAGCTTGATATTATATTATCCCAAAATACCGTATCTGATGGTCCGGCCCGACTTTATAAGATAAAACAACATTATAGCCGTGTCGAAAAACATTATGAAGGATCACGATTCAAATTTTTCGATATCAATAAAATATTTCGGTCCTCGAAATTCAACGCGAATCGTTATGAACTTTTGAATAATGGCGTTGAAGAGAAATATATCAAACAAAAAAGGTTAAGTACGGCCCGGTCAGATGTTATCGACGAGTCATTCGTCACGCTCGTATATTATTTTATAAAACCACGGCTAATCTCAGAAGAACCTGAATGTTTTAATTTTGGCCCTTCTTTTTGCTCTTCTTTCAACTGTTGTGAATTCCTTTTAAGTCCGACCACATATTTATAAGACAATATTTATCTGTAAAAAAGTCTTAATCTTAATTCGAGGAAAACAATCATAAAGATCTCAATAAATAACGTCATTACAAGAATTATTTTGAACAAACTTAACTTTCGGTCAGAGCTTATCTATTTCTTAACATATCTTGTACGGGATCCCCACCCAAGAAAGGTAAAGGTGTTGAATTCTTAACACCTGTCTCTCGGCGATTTCCACCCAAATCACTGTATCTCTGTTGTAATAAAATAAATTTCGTGTAGACGCCGTAGGGTTAAGCCGGGCCCGGTCGGCCCAGTCTGTCGATGAACAAACGACGTCCGTTGACACGATACATTATAATGGGCCGGAGTATTCGACAGGCTTTAACAAAGCACGTGGTCTGCTTGACGTGAGGATTAATATGGATGACAAAAAATGAGAACCGTGGTAAATATGTTGCGCATACAAAATTATCATTTGATATTCAATATCAGATGTTGGAGTTCATGAATACATGATGAAATTCCAATGTGATTAAGTTAGACGTTTATAAAAATTCGTTTATGGAGAGAACTTACAAACTTAATTCCTGAGAGTGATAAAGATATCAAATTACCGATTCTCAAAGAACATAAAACCTACATCCAATAAAAATTTCACATTAATTTATGTCCTCACTAATTATGATCTCAGCTTATATTATTCGACTGAATAATATATAAAATAGCGATAAGAATTTTATTTATAACTGCATAACCTTTTGTAATTATTAAAGGTCAAAGAAAATTTCATAGGCCATCAATATTTATAGCAGGTTACATTTATCAATGATGTCGCGTTTCGATTTAGGCCTAACAGCGCCCGCGTCGGTGTCAAAGCACGCTCCAATGCGCACCATTCCTAATCGCCCCTTCATCTTCCTTTATAACCAAATTATTTTTCACTCATCATCATGTACCTCTTAATCGTCGGTTATCGTTATCTCGATGATTATTACACGTATTACGTTACTTCAAACTACGTCGTAATTTTTCTTACCACGTAAATTTGTTTATTCGATAATTTAGAAAAATTTGATATTTGATTGCCGGTTTCTTGTTCCGTGTTATTGATTGTGCGTGCATGCGTTATAATTATATAGTTCTGTGCGTCCAACTTGTTATAAATTAATGACTGGAAATAAAAATATAAAATGTAAACATTCAATTTGAAACATAGAAAGTTAGAAAGAATTAGTCATGAATTGTAACATAAAACTGTAGATGAAAACAAACTCGTCGCTGTACATTTATCATCCAAGCTCAAGCTATAAAAAGCAGATCTATAAAGTTTAGTTATCTAAACTCATTAATATGATGTCATAAAACGTAAATTAAACATGAAATGTAAGCTTAAGTGGAACTTAATGTAAGCATTAATGAATACTAAAGGTGTAGGTAGGTCCGGAAACACGGATCCGTTAAAGCCTTTTAACAAGATTTAAAACAGCATAAGACTTTACGTAAATTGATGGCATTGAGAACAGAGATGAGGGGGTACGCCAATTTATTACCAATACCCCGGGGCTCTCGTTTGTTCCCCATCCACTAAAAGATTGTTCGAGGTGTTTATAAACGCTCGAACAACGCCTCCAGACATGACATATTTATTAACATTTGATTCAAATTGACTCCGTTCAACACCAACTTCTATTGTATTTTAAAATGTTAACTATTCCCATAAATATTTGCTATTTATTATATTTTCTATTTCCTATTCTAAATTATTCTTTGTTATGTTGTTGCAGGTATATACATTCGAAGGAGAAGCCGTTCAAGTGTCTCGAATGTGGAAAAGGTTTTTGCCAGTCTAGAACATTAGCTGTACATAAAATATTGCATATGGAAGAATCCCCACATAAATGTCCGGTTTGCAGCAGAAGTTTCAATCAAAGATCTAATCTGAAGACGCATCTTTTAACGCATACTGATATAAAACCTTACAACTGTACGTCATGCGGGAAGGTTTTTAGACGCAATTGTGATTTGAGACGCCACAGTCTGACTCATAATCTGGTTGGAATGTCGTCACTAAACACTTCCCCGAGCGGAGCAAACGGGAAGAGCCCTTTACTGAATCCAAATTTTCCTATCGATAATTTAGATACTGAAGAAGAAAACTGAAATTTATTTAGAACATTATGAATGTTCCCAATAAAAGACTGATAAAAAATTCAAAGTGCCTTGTAGTTTTAAGTCTCGGAACAGGTTATTCTAGGAATGCATTAATCGCGTTTCATAATAGTAACTCTAGCATCTGTCAATTTATACGTTGTAAGTAGGAGATACGTATGTATTTAAGATTATTAGGTTATAAGTTTAATTTTATTGTTTCATTTGAAGTATTTGATATAATGTCAATCTATAAGTAGACGTTATTTTGTAATGTATTTCAATATTGTCATTTCCTTTGGATGTGTTAATATTATTTTGGATAAATGTTTTGTCTATTCTGATCTCATTTTTGTATTTTGTAAATATAAATTATACTTGGCTAAGTCAATTACAATTAATCCGTCCGTATTTAATTGTCATTATATTAATATTATTTAAGATGAAACCATTCAGTGTCTTTATCTTTTTTTATGTAAAACACTTTAGACTGTTTTTTTTTTGTGAATATAAATTTATATGCTGTACAAATTCGATGGAAATAAAATTTATCAATAATACCCGTTTTTGACTTTAATTTACTTTATTAAAATATATTTCTCATGTTTGATTTACATCCAAACCGAAGTAATATTGATTTGTGAGTTCTTAAAATTCTATAATAAAATGTTGTTATGCCTCTCCTTATTAAATACTAATATTTTTTTCATATTATATTTCTCATAATCAGTAAAGATTATAAATAAGTTGAAGTGACAAAAATAAAATAATAAACAAAATATTCCCAACATTCATATATTTAATAATACTTGCATTATTTTATAACGTCTGTAAAGAAAAATATATTGTAAACGAAACAGAAATAAAACATTATTTCTATAGTTCTAATAGCTAAAAATATAAAGTATTAATTGAGCTCAATTAACAACTAAGACTCGAAGTACGAGAGCTCTTGATAAAATGACAATAGTGTAACAGATTTTATAAAAGCATTTAGTATGTATTTGTATTAAATTAATATTAACTTAAATGTTTATATTTTTTTAAATTAGAAAACCACAGATTACATGAAAAAGCATAAACGTCAAGTTACATAAATAAAAATCTGTTTGTACGAGTATATTTATACTCTGTGTCATATAAACCAGACCGTAGTAGCTTTATATTAGGTATACATTGTTTTATCCTGTGGACTTTCGAGAACGTTCCTCAATATAATATGTATTGCACTATTTTCATGTTTTTAAACATAACACCGTAAGACAAACATTTTTTTCTTTTATATAAAATAAATATTTCAGTGCTTAGTTCTCAATACTATTGTTGTTTTAATAATAAGTATAATGCTTGTTTTGTAGATAGTAAAGCAATTTAACGTATAAATGTCTTGGTAAAACTATGAATTTTGAAAATGTCTATGAACCTCGACAACAAAAGGTTAATTGCCAGCTATAGTAGTGTCAATATTTTCATAGTTCCTTAAGTATTTTTTGTTTAAAACATACGAAAACAATATATAAATAATTAGTGACAAAGAGTTTTAGAGTCTATCTCGTTTTATCTATCATATTTTAGGGCCTAAAAAAGAATTGTCAAAGTGATTACAATCCTCATTTTTAAGCATGTTTAAATATGTCTTATAAAAAACAACACCTATATAGTTTTATTATCATAAAGTTGGAAAAAAAAGTGTTAACTTTTTTAAAGTTCATTCGGAATAAAACTAAATGTATGCTATTAGGAAACAAAGGACGACTACCAAGCTTGAAAAATTGATTCAATTCAATGCCAAATCGCTGTGAGAGCTTTGGATATCAACCTTTTGTCGTTTGAATTCATACAAAGCCCTCGAGTATCAAAATGACATAAAGATTTTTTTTTCAACAACACAAAACAAGTTTATAATAGCCCACATGTTTTCTTTTTTTTTCTAGAATTCAGAAAATTGATGATGTGTTAAAAAGGTAACAGACTTCATCTGTTAAAACGCTATAGTATCATATTTCAGAACAAATTCACCCGCCATATTTTAAGATTCGCATTCTAAATTCAAATTCAACCGCGTGATTCGTTACGGATTTGCCGGGTTACTTTTTTATTTATTTTATTGTTCTTTTTTGCATTAGATACCAATATGGCGTTTTATTGCCGCTTTTAAAGTCACGAATGTGCTATAATAATTTTTTATTTTTTATTTGAAATAAAAAATACGGATTGTATTAAAGCGTGGTAAAATCTTTTCTCTTTAGGAATATATGTGTCTATTTAAAAATAATACCGCTTATTGTATTTATGTTCAATAACAGAAATTTATACAACATTTTCAGATAAGTATAGAAAAAGATTGTCACAGATTAAGTATAAGAAAACAAAATGAATAAAGGGATACAATCGTACCTTTCATGAGACACTATGACAACATAATAATGGTAGAGCACGGTCTTAGTGTATTATAACCGGGAATTATACACAAATTATATAGCAATCACCCCAATCGGAAATCCCGCTGTGTTAAACAAAGTATACCTTTACGGGGTTGTCTTTTGCAAACACAGTATTGTCATCGAAACCAAAATTACGGATTGTGACATAGAATAATACCGTAAGTCTTGTTTGAGAAAAAAAAACCGCTTTCGCAGTTTGGAGTGTTATCGGAATTTAGTGCACTTTTTTTCACAGCGACCACACACGGAACATAATGTTTTTTTGGTACTTTTTGTTTGCGAAATTGTATAAGGTATTTTGACAATGAGTTTGAAACGTGCGTCGGCGCTGTTACGAATGTTAAGCACGGCTTCGCTTGGATTGTTTGTCTTTGTGGTGTGATTTTTACTTTTTAAGATTTACCAACACCTTTTAAATAGCTATTATATGAAATAATACTGTAACATGATAATGACAGTTTTTATGAAATTATTTTAAATTCATGATTTGCTATTAATTATAATATAAATAAATAATGAACATTTTGAGAAATTTCGTGTGTGACTTTAATAAATTTTAATATCTATACAATAAACTCATATTTCATTTTAAAAATTAAGATTCGGAATGATATCCTTTACCTCGTTTTAATGTATACAGATTTCATTACTTCTAAATCACAAAAATGCAAAAAATATATATTGCTCTGCAAAAGAAAATTGTTCTATTTCAGAAATAATAGAAGACATAGAATAAAGGTTTATATCCTATGAAATGTTATTATTGATAATTGATATAGCATATAGATGTAACGTATACTAGTGTGATAAATGGTTAGGTTTCCGAAATAAAATATTTTTATTAGGATCACAATAATCAGACACTTGTCAAATTAAGTTAAACAATAGGTATTTTAAATAATACCTTCGTATTTTTTTCATATTTTTATTTATAATTTATATTAATACAAAATATTAGTTCGTACGACTTTTTCACTTCATTCTTCCTCTGTCCTGGTGTTTCATTCACAGCTGATCAGTACCATGATAGAAGTTGAAACTGTATGAGGTGATGTACCTATGTGAAACTACGAAGAGTTACAACAGTACATTTTAATAATACATATACCTAATTGAAATTATATTTATTTTATTTACTCATTAATAAAAACATATCACCGAGAAAAAATATACCTATTAAATTTAGATAAATAGGTTTATATGTTTTTTTATTATTATATTTTTCATTAAAGTAATATAAAAATGGACAATTTTTAAACTAAAAATATATCTATACTTTTGATATAAAGCTAAACCATAAATATATTAAGTAATATATGAAATAAATATCTTTTTAAGTCATTCCAATGAAATTTTATCATCAGTTAAAATGATCACGTACATAAATATTATTTACAAACAAGAATAGTTAGAACCAACTATTACACTTAATTAAAAACTACATTAAATTTATAATTATCATGGTATTTTAAGCATCTTCACATAAGCTATTGTACAATCAGACCATCTTAAGATACCAATAAAAGTTAAGGACTCAGCACTTAAAGATATCATATTAAATATTTAAGTGAAACTAATTTATATAAATCTAAACGCCTACTTAAACCTTATCGCAAAATTTACACCGTCTCTGTATTTAACTGTAACAGATGTTTAAATATTCATTTTATATAACTCGCTTATCAGACAACTACAACCTTTACGCATTATCATATCAAAAGTGTGCGAATTAACGGCGACAATTGTGATTGTAAGTGCCGCTTGCGAATGCTAAGTGTCAGTGTCATAGACTAGACAATTACGATACAGAATGTCTAATAGGAATGTCAAATTGTACCAAATAATTTTATACTACACCATGGTCAAACTAATCGTTGCGTGATTAAATAAAGAGAATTTATTTTTCGATCTTATACGATATATGATATTATTATTATTTTAAGGATTTAAAAAAGAATTTTAGTCGATTTAACTCAATATTTAAGTCAAAGAATTGTAATTGACAATCGATATTTTAGTTCATATAGATCTCTTTAATATCTTTATTTATGTTTGATAAAACACAGCATAAAGATTATTATGAATAGTGTATTGAAAATTCTACAAGAAAAACATCTGAAGGAAATGCATACTCCACTTCAGAACATATGTGAAAAATCTTCTATATTTTACTAAATACATATAAATATTTTAATTATATATAATAGTACATTTAATTAAGTATGAAATTAGGACATTCAGACCTTTTAAGAAAATTATATAACCGCACTTAAATCTAAGTTAAAGGTAGTTAATAAAAAAAATAACTATAAAAATATATTTAATAACAATTAAAATATATATTTAGTTTTATTCTATGATATAATGGGAAGTAATAGAAATGGTATAATCGTATAATCAATTAAATACCTTTCAGCAATGTATAAATATGAATGATACACATCTGATTCATACTCTTTGACCTCAGCCCACGCGCCGCTGTCCTGACGACGGTAACTGAGAGCCGATAGTGAGCTAGATACTACATGGACCGCACACGAAGAACATTTACCTATATTTATATATATA